ATGTAACAGCATTCGTCTGCTCAGACACATTTTCCCAACTTCCCATGTACTTTCCAAACCTTTACCATGTTTCCCAGTATCCTCTCTTCATCCCTCATTTTGTTGATGATCTAGGTCCTGCTTCCCATAGTCAACAGAACCCAACAGAAATAACCTCAGCTTTCTTCTTCCTCTTCCCTTTATTTAACTGTTCTCAGAAGGAGAGGTGTCTTTACAAGCTCCCTGTCTCCATTCCTCCCCTGTTGCCAAAGTTCCTGAAAGTGTGGTCTCCATACCTGCTTACGCTACTTTGTTTTCTTCTGAGTGAAAGGAAGGGACCTCAACCCTAAATGCTCTGACCCTGATTGAAGACCCTGTGGCCTGAATCGGCATATATTTCCTGAATTCTAAACCTGGTGGTCTCTTTCCAGGCCTCATCCTCTATCGCTGCAGCATTTATCTCTGTTGTCACATTCTTCTGCTTAAAACTTTTCATAGCTTTTCATGTACCCAGGGCAGGCATTCAAAAATATTGAAGCAGTAGTTTTGATGTCTTTTCTGAGCTTTCACCAGGATTTTTAATGGGCGTTACTGCCTAAATCTCAAATGCCTTATAGCCAAAACCAAGTAATGATTTCCTGTGCTCTCCAAACTGATTCCTCTTCCTCTTGCTATTTCTTGGTATCACTGAGGTTACCATCATTTTATCCATGTACCCATGCTAGATGCCTTAAGGTCATCCTTGACTCCTCTTCATTCTCTGCTTTCCATTTGGTGTCTAAGCTTTGATGAGTATTTCCCGCATCTTCTTTTCTTTTCCTGCTATTTCCTGTGACTCTTGCCTCTTTCTGTTTATTGTCTTTTGTCTGGATTATTTCAGTAATACGTTCAGGAGTTTCTAATTTGGATTCCATGGATGGACCTCAAAGGATTAAAGAACACTCTCAAATTTGTATGCAAATTTTTTGTACATATGCATTTTCCTGGGGAGATCCATTAGTCTGTTCTATGGGAAAGAGAGGAATAGAATGAAAGACAATGACAATTTAAATCAGGTCCACTGATTTCTCTTTCTATACCTGCCCTTTGCTATTTAGGTCACTAACCTAGGGCACTTATCTCTGAGTAGTGAGATGGCATGTAAGACATTGAGAATAAAGCAGCAGCATTAGTCAGTCCAGCTGGGTAGTCAGTTCAGCAGCCAGAGATCAGAGGCTCCTCAATATCAGATCCAGGCTTTAATATCCCAGAGAAGCTCAGAAGAAAGCTGGGGAATCAGCAGGAGCAGAGGGTGTCCTCCTGAGGCCCCTGGACCGATTTGTTCCTGTGCTTCCAAAGGAATTAGAGGGGTATGAAAACTTAACTGGCGAGAATCCAAAGTCAGCTAGTGAGTTGGAGTCCCCAGAAAAAAGTTCAGAACATTCCCCCAGCTAGCCTCCTCTCCTTTGCCTGTTTGGTCTCTAGTTCTTTCTCCACTCTACCAACAGAGTTAGCTTTTAAACACATACCTCCTGGTGCGCCTTCCATGGTTATCACTTACACCTGAGGGTGATTACATAAATCACCCAAAAATGTGGGGTTTTAATCACCTATGAAACAGGTTAAAAACTCATGGTCATGGTTTCAAGGCCTGCCAGTTAGGACTCTGCCAGCCTCGTCTTCAGCCACTGCCCGCTCCTCCCCTCCAAGGCTCTGGCTACAGCAGGTTACTACTGGCTGTTTCGAGAGAACAGCGTCTGTGTCCGTACCCCTATGCCTTTGATCATGCTAGCCTCTCTCTTTGGGGTGGCATTTCCTCTCCATTGCCTGTGAACCTCCTACTCATTCTTCCAGGCCCACATTGGATGTTAGCTCTTCCCCTGAGTCCATTCTTAATTTTCTGCCATTACTCTGGCAGAATCAGTATCTCTTGGCTAGAGTCCAAAAACATTTCATACATATCTCTGATAATGTCATATTATATTGTAGATAGCCTATTTTTATTTCTGTCTTTCCTACTAAGCCAGGAATGCCCTACAGGTAGGGACTGTCTTTTGCGTGTTTGTATCCCTAACACCTACCTTTGCATCTAGTCTAAACATGAGCTTAGTACCCTTTTGTTGAATGGAATTAGTTATAAAGAGTTTTTATGACTCATTTAAAATTAGAGACCAATGCTTATTTAATAAGTCAGAATAGTCTGTAATAATAATAGTAATAATAAAGTCCCATTTCCACCGCTTATTCAAGTAACAGCTTCCTTTGTGGAAGTAGATTTTGAAAGACTTTACATGTCAGTGTATATTTTTGATGTGCTCATTTGAGATCCTAAAAGAATTATAGTTCTAATGCAGACTAGAGCTTCTATGACATTCCTGTTGATGTTATATTAAATATATTCTATCGTTTCACATATCTATATTATATATTTAATAAGCTGCATGGATATGCATTCTGTCTCTTTTTCTTTTAACCTTCATGGTATATTTTGTGAATTATTTTATAATATCTGAGTAAATTTAGTTCAAAACACATTAATTTGAGCATTTTCCTTGTACAGAAGCATAGTTGCAAAGTTAAGATTCTTGTCTTTATGTTATTTTGTTTTGTTAAATTTGCAAAGTCTCAGTCATTGCAAATGTGTTTTTTTTAGGTATTTAAATTAGCTCAGCTATGAAAGTAAGCACAGTCCATAAATTAAGAGCTTCAAATAATTTTTAAAACTCGTCTTCTGTCCTTCATATTCTTTCAGTTTTGTAGGAAAAGAATCATCAGTTTACTTATTTAGCCTTTCCTGAAGTCCATAGTAGGTGCTGGGCATTATGCTGGGTGAATGAAATCGTACTTGGACTTGAATAGTTTACAGTCTTGATAGCGAATGAGCCATGTAAACAGAGAATTGCAATATAAAAACTTGGAGGAGAGGAAGGAAGACTACTTTGAGAACCGAGATTAGGTTGAGAATGGATGAGTCTGCTGATCAATTTATAGATAAAGAAGCAGAGAGGTGAAGTGTTTTTTTTCTTTTTTTTATATGTGAAGTAGGAACCTAGGGTATCTCTAAGAATTCATAGCAGGGGGTAGCTCTTGAGAAGAACGTGAAGATCTGGATAATTAATAAGGAGAATTAGAGATGAGCTAACAAAGACAAGTAAAGAGTGGCATGCACAACTGAGAAAGCAGTGAGCATAGGACTGAAACTGGATAGCATGAAATTCTGGAGATAACTGTCAGTAGCACAGAGGTGTAATTTTCTCCAGCTGTGCTCTGTGGCCAACGTGTAGTGCAATAAAACCATATTGTATTCAGGGACTATGGGGTGGTTATAACATAAATTTACAAAGGCCAAATAGTTAAAAGTCCTTCAAAGAAAGCATGGCTTACTAGGGAAGGCAGTATGGTTAAGAGGAAGTTTATAAACTTGGAGAAAATGTAGACGTCAAGAAGTTGGAGATCAGAAGGCTAGTGCTTTGTAGGTACTCAGAAAATCTTCATTTTCTCCTTTCTGGATGTCCTCTCTCTATGCATGTTTCACCACCACCACCTGCCTCAGCTATGGTTTATACATATGAATAGTTTCAAATCATAATGGTAACAGTTGGCTCAGAGGGCAAGATTAGGAGCCAGACTTCTACGTCCTCATCCAGTGTGTCCCTGTAACTTAGATGCTGGTAGTGCTTGGTGGTATTGGCCTCTAGGAGAAGCTCAAGACTTCTCCTGTTATCTCCCTACCACTCATACTTGAAGGGTGAGTCAAAGGCCAGAAGCATTTTATTGGGCAGTGATTCTTAGGGAAGGGATTTACTCTGTGGTGCGAAGGGTTAAGACTGTAACCCATCGAGTGTTTCCCCTCCCTCTCCATGCTCAACCAAAGGCACAGATCTTATTACTTTCAAGGATTTAAAAAGGAGTCTTTTCTCGGCATAAAGAAAGAAGTAAAGACCAATTCTGACAGCCCAAAGGGTCTTCCTCCTCAGAATCTAAAATTTCTAATAGAGTTGTTTGCATCTTGTGATTTTATGTGAGTCATCAAATGTATTGTGCTGTTTTTCTTGAAGATATACTTTTTAATGCTTCTGTTTCAAATAAGGACAAACCATTTTCCATAGAGACACACTATATTGCATTTTCAGAAATTTCCCTTTTTACCCATACTTAGGAGGTGACACTGAAATCTAATAATTTATTATTCAACAGAGTGCTTTTTTGGGTATAGTATAAAGATATATAATTTTAATAACTTTTGGGGTACAAGTGGTTTTTGGTTACATGGATGAATTATATAGTAGTGAAGTCTGGTATTTTAGTGCATCTCATTGTCCAAGTAGTGTGCATTGTACCCAATATTAGGTTTTTATTCCTCACTCCCCTCTCACTTTCCCCACTTCTGAGTCTCCAAAGTCCATTACTCTGTATGCCTTTGTGTACCCATAATTTAGCTCCCTCTTATAAGTGAAAACGTACGGTATTTGATTTTCCATTCTTGAGTTACTTCGCTTAGAAAAATGGCCTCCAGCTCCATCCATGTTGTAGCAAAAGATATTATTTTGTTCTTTTTAATGGCTGAATAGTATTCCATGGTGTGTGTGTGTGTGTGTACACATATATGATATATAATAATAAATTATATATAATTTATCATTATACATAAAACGAGGCAGATGTTTTATTTTTGTAGGGACAGGGTCAACAATGTGTTTCCCAGGCTGATTTCATGCTTCTGGGCTCAAGTGAGCCACCATACCCAGCCAAAAATAAGTAATATTTTCAGAGTAAGAAGTATTTGTCCAAAATGGTAGCATGAATGTGCTCTCCCGGAGACCTTTAACTGGCAGCATTGCCCCTCAAGCATTCGCAGTTAGGGGAATTGTTGCTGGATTTTTGGTTGTATATTCTTGTTCATGGCTTATGGACATTAACATATGTAAATGGCATCACTGTGTTTTTCCTAAAGTGCATATGAAGCAGGAAGAAAACTTTGCTTTAGAGTCTTACTTGGATTCTAGTTAGCTGATATAAGACTGTTTTCTTTTCCTTTTCAGGTTGTAAACATGTTAAAGGCATCCTGTTATATGGACCCCCAGGCTGTGGTAAGACTCTCTTGGCTCGACAGATTGGCAAGATGTTGAATGCAAGAGAGCCCAAAGTGGTCAATGGGCCAGAAATCCTTAACAAATATGTGGGAGAATCAGAGGCTAACATTCGCAAACTTTTTGCTGATGCTGAAGAGGAGCAAAGGAGGGTAATGTGAACATCGTCGCTATATGATGAATGAGACCCAGAGTTATGGAGGCAAACTTGTTACTTTGATTTATATTTTGAAGCAACTTACAGATAAATTTACCTAGTACCTAGGTTATATATGGCACTGCACCAGGGACTGTGGGAGATTTACATGCTGAGCAGATGTTGTTACCCACATATTCCTATAAACAAAGGTAGGTGATTGTGTAAGCCAGAGGTTTTGCAAAAACAGGTCATGAATATATTTTCAGGTGACGCTTGTATTCCATATTGCTTCCAGAGACTTGTGCTCATTTATCCTTTGGAAGAAAAGAGGAAATTAAATCCATAAATAGACTTACGGAATCGTATTGTGTAAGGTTCGCATGCAGAAAGCTATCTTACTTAATGCTGAATCTTGCTCAGTTATATAGTGACAGGATTGAGTTGTCAGAGCTCAGAGGAAAGCTTGATTTGAGTCTCAGAAATGAAATTATTTAAAAATTAAACTAGAGTTTACTAATTCTGTTAGTTTTACATGTCAACTTGACTAGGACATAAAGTGCCTAAATATTTGGTAAAACATTTTGGTTGTGTCTGTGAGGATGTTTCTGGATGAAATTAGCATTTGAGTTGATAGAGTAAATAAAGCAGATTGCCCTCCCTAATGTGGGCAGGCCCCATTCAATCAGTTTAAGGCCTGAACAGAACAAAAATGCTTACTTTCCTGCAAGTAAGAGGGAATTTCGACTTGCCTGGTTGCCCTGAGTTGGGACATTGGTTTGGATGCAAACTGAAACATCAGCTCTTGCTGGCTTGGAGGCCTTTGGACTGAAACTAAATAATGCGTGTTAGTTCTTCTGGGTCTCCAGATTGCTGACTCCAGATCTTGGGACTTGTCAGCCTCTGAAATTGTAGATTTTTCCCAGGGAATTGGCTAAAACGATTATGGAGGCTGACATGTATATGTGGGTGTGTATGCATACATACATATTCATAGAGATTTATCATAAGGAATGCACACACTCGCACGAACATTCTATTGGTTCTGTTTGTCTGCTCTGATTAATATCCTAATACTAACATATTTTTTTAATTGACAGAAAGTTTAAGAACAATGCCATGAGCGTTCTGGTTCTAGTAATACAGTAGACTAGGTAACCAGAAAACCTTCCTTCTATAAACACCTTCAAATGCTAGGTATACCCTGTACCCCTTAAATATGTACAATTATGTGCCAATTAAACACAAAATAAAACTTTAAAAAGTTCTGGGTAAAATATAACTAAAATTATTTTAAATGCATAATTGAACTCTTCAGAAAGAAAACTGAATCTCCAGGAAATTAGAGTCGTAAGATATGGGCTGTAGCTTTTGGTTTCATAATGTATGGGTTTGGGTTTTAGTACCCACTAGGGAACAGAAAGTGAGTTCTTGAATCTATTTACAGTGTGGACTAGGAACTGGTACCTTCAAACAGGTTGTGTCTCTATGAAAAGCATGGACTAGAAAATATCTGCCACCACCAAAGGGAAGTTAACAAAAAATATTTAACTGCTTGGGTTCTGGAATGGAAGCTTGGAAATCTCCTACGGGAATACTTTTTTTTTTTTTTTTTTTTTGAGGTGGAGTTTTGCTCTTGTTGCCCAGGCTGGAGTGCAATGGCGTGACCTTGACTCACCACAACCTCCGCCTCCCAAGTTCAAACAATTCTCCTGCCTCAGCCTCCCGAGTAGCTGGGATTATAGGCTTGTGCCACCATGCCCGGCTAATTTTGCATTTTTAGAAGAGATGGGGTTTCTCCATGTTGGTCAGGCTGGTCTCGAATTCCCAACCTCAGGTGATCTGCCCGCCTTGGCCTCCCAAAGTGCTGAGATTACAGGTGTGAGCCACCGCGCCCGGCCTCCCATGGGAATTGTAAACCATGGATCCTTGTTCGTGCTGGTTTAGAATTTGAATAAATATATGCTACCTATGTGGCCTGAAACCCCAAGCTGAGAAATTAGTTTAAAAAGTTATTCGGGTGCAGTGGCTCATGCCTGTAGTACCAGCTACTTGGAAGACTGAGATGGAAGGGTCACTAGAACCCAGGAGTTCTAGGCTGCAGTGAGCTATCATTGTGCCATTGCACTCTAACCTGGGTGACAGTGCAAGACCCTATGTTAAGGAAAAAAAAAAAAAAATTAGTCCTGGCCTTGTGATAGCATAAGTTGTCAGATATAAGCAAACCCCAAGGGGTACTCCAACAACCTAGGCTGAAAGGAATAGAAAAGGAGTCATCAAAATTTAAAACTCAGCAACCAAATTTAACATAAGACAACAAATTTCAGCTGAAGAGAGAAGTGGTAAACAGAAGAATAAACCTAAAGAAATCACCCGGAATGTAGCACAGAGAGATAAAGGGATGGAAGAGATGAAAGTTGAGATGACAGAGTTAAAACGAGAAGTCCAGATAGAATAGTGTAGAGGCATTATTCAAAAAGAGAATGACTGCAAGTGTTCTTAAATTAATAAAAGACACAAGTACTCAGATTCAGGTAGCACCATGAGTCCATATGGGATAAATGAAAATTAACTTATTTCTAGACTTGTTATAGGAGAATGCCAAAGACAAATATCTTAGTAACAAAAGAAAGACATGGAGATGATTTACAAAGGGGTATCCATTATGCTGATAGCAAACTTTTCCATGACAGAGAGAACAAAAAACAGTAGAATAATATCTTCAGAGAGCTAAGTGAAAATAACTGTCAACTTAAAAGTTAATACCCAGCTTAATTCTCATTCAGGAATGAGGGTGAAATAAAGACTTTTTTCTTCAGGCAAAGGATAATAGAATTAACTAGTTGCAGAAGCTTGTTGGAAGATTATGAAGTAGAATGTACTGAGACTGAAGGAAGTTGAACCCAGAAGGAAACAGTAGATCCAAGAAACAATGATGAGCAATAAAATTGGTGAAAATATAGATAAAGTCTGGTAGTTCTACTTTTAGTAGTGGCAGATGAGGTCATTTGAATCATGCTTTCCACTGAAGACTACCAGAAAAGCTCAACACAATATTTAAACATGTTTTGCTTGAAGGTATCAAAGAAGAAAAATGGAGGCCTAGAACAAAGGTCCTCCTGGTGTGCTGGGTCACTATTCCTCTCGAGGTATTAGCCAGTTCTGCATGAAGCTGCTAAAACCTAAGCAGCCCTTTTGACATGCTAGTGGGAGTAATGGGGGCAGAGATTAGAGCCCATGGCCCCTGAGGGAGGGGACATCTGATGAACATAACTCATTTTGAGTCAGGACCCTGAAGGGCTACACCATAGGAGCAAGGGTTAACCAGGAATAGACATACTATCACCAAGGCTGAAGATCAGCTTTGAATCATGTCAGTCCCTAAAATTAGATTGAGGGTTCCTAAACTGTTAGTGCCCCTAGGCATCTGGCAGAATTGTAAATCCTTCCTGGAGGAAAGTAGTATCATGTAAGGTCACAAATTATTTCTAGTTTGCAAATGCAATGTCTGGCTTATAATCAAAAGCAACTGGAAACAGATAAACAACATCAAGAAAAAGAAAAGATGGTTGAAACAGCCTCTAGATATTGGAATTCTCAGATACAGACTTTTGAAATAATTATACTTACCACATTCAAGGAGATAGAAGACAAGACAGATTTTTGGCAGAGTACTGGGAACTGTAAAAACAAATATAAATTCTAGAACTGAGAAAATAAGTAAAATTAACTCAAGTGAATGAGTTTAAATAGCAGGTTAGACACATCTGAAGAGAGAATTAGTGTACTGAAAGATATAAGATGAAAATAACCAGAGACAAAGAATGAAAGGAATTAAGAGAGAATAAGAGAGAGAGAGAGAAAATACCATTTAAAGGTCTGGTGCGTGTATTTAAAGTTCCAGAAGAGGAAGAGAAAGAGGATGGATCAAAACCAGGATTTGAAGAGAAAATGGTTTAGAACTTTCTAAAACTGATGGAAAACATTAGTCCATAAATTACAGAAATGATATGAACCCTGAGCGGGAGAAGTACCAAAGAACTCTACATATATAGGCATCATTGTTAAATTGCTGAAAACCAAAAGCAAAAGAAAAATCTTAAAAGGAGCTAGACAGCAAAGGAAAATTACCTTCAATTAAGCAACAACTAGCTGGTAGCTGTCTTCTCAATAGAAATGATGGAATCAAAAAGTCAATCAAAGGCCATTTTTAAAGAGCTGAAAGAAAATAACTGTCAACTTAGAATTTTATATCCAGTAAATGGATGAATGATCATAGAAATATGCAATGGAATACAAGACAGTAATGAAAATAAATAGCCTACAGCTATACAGTTGTGAAACAAATACATTATTGAGCAAAAGAAACCAGATTTAAAAAAGAACACATACTGTATGATTCCATTTATAGAAAGCCCACCTAAAGTATAGTGTTTAACAATGCATGCTTGGGTGGTAAAACTATAAAGGAAAATGAATAATTACCATAAAAATCAGATCGTGGTTACCTATGGGGAAAGGTCAGGGAGGAGTGTTTGGGAAGGGTTGCGAGGAGGTGCTCCTAGGATGCTGGCCGTGTTCTGTTTCTTATGATTACATAGGCGTTCATTTTGTGACAGTTCATTGAGGCATATATTCACATTTTGTAACTTTCTCTATGTGCGATATATTTTGCAATAAAATGTTTTAAAAATAAATTTTAACAGCATTCACTGAGTAAAACAATAATGATACGGATACTTTTAAAGGATAGAACTAAAATATGGAACAAAACGTTTGGGAAGTTTAACTTCATGTAAGCTCCTTGTATTATTGGGGAAGAAGATAGGGAGTTCAAGACCAGCCTGGTCAACATGGTGAAACCCCATCTCTACTAAAAAAATACAAAAATTAGTGGGCATGGTGTCGTGCACCTGTAATCTCAGCTACTCAGGAGGCTGAGGCAGGAGAATTGCTTGAACCTGGGAAGCGGAGGTTGCAGTGAGCCAACATCGTGCCACTGCACTCCAGCCTGGG